TTTTTTTTTTTTTTTTTTTTCCTGAGACCAGAAAAGGTTACGTGTTTTTTTTTTTTGTTTTTTTTTTTTTTTTTTTTTAGTTAGTGGTAATAAGAGGAGAGACTGCAATCAGGTTCTCAAAAAAAGGAAGAGTCAAAACAAAATTTGGGAAAACCGGAAAAATAAGGAACGCAACAAAACAACGAATGTGTCGGCAGGAAGCCTTCATCAGCGAACAAACAACAGAAGAAAAAAAAAACAAAGCAATTTTTTTTAAATGCTGTTTTTTCTGTTGTTTGTTCACCGACGAAGGCTTCCTGTCGACCCGTTCGTTCAATCGTTGTTTTGTTTTTTCCCTTTTTTCAGGTTTTCCCATACTTTGTTTTGACTCTTTTTCTATTTTTAAGTTAGTAAGCATTCAACATTATGCATGAATGATTCTCAGCATGTTTAATTTCTGTTGACATATTCTTTGATTAGATTTTTTTTCTGACAGATTCTTTTATTAGATATTTATTTTTTGTTCTGACAGATTCTTTGAGAGTATTGTGATAGAGCTGAGAAGTGCCAGCAGCGTCATACCGCTGTCTTTTCTGCTTGGCTTCTATGTTACGTTTATTGTACAAAGATGGTGGCAGCAGTTTGTTAATGTCCCGTGGCCAGACAGGTAAATCGGTGAAATCGGTAAACCCGATGTTTTAGTGTTCGAATCAAACTAGACTGTCATGTCTCAATTTGTAGTTCGCAATTTTAGAAATTAATACTGAATAGATTCAAACCATTAGCTTCAAAATGCCAAAAGGAAGATTTAAAACGCATCCTGAGTTATGCTTTAAAAAAAGTTATTGTCCCTTTTTTTTTTTAAATAACAAATTCATTTTTTTTTTAAACGAAGCACCCCTTTTATGTTCTCCAAAATATCCTTTAAAAAAAGTTATTGCCCATTTTTTTTTTTAAAATAACAAATTCATGTTTTTTTTTAACGAAGCACCCCTTTTATGTTCTCCAAAATATCCTCCAGCCCAAGTTTTTGTTTTGTTTTTTTTTTTTAAGTTGTTTCCGCGAAGATGGTAGGACCGATAACTTAGTCAGTACAAATCAATTTATCGGTATTCAAAGCTGAATTTTGGAGAACGAGATCGATTTCAGTAACGGCGCTTACTTTTAAGTTAATTGGCGGATTCAATAAATGTATTTATTTTCAATCATGACTTATTTAAATGTCTATGTAGGAAGGTGTATGGTATTTTACGCGCAAACCTACTTTTTAAATTCGAAATGTGCACTTTTTAATAAGAAATTAACTTTAAAGGATAAATTATAAATATTGTATTTTTGTAATTAATAAAATGTACAAAAACTGAATAGAAAACTTTGAAACCGAATTTCATCTAGTCTCCACTGGCGATAAAAACATTAATACATTAGAATAGAAACGAGAATTAGCACCTTAATGAATGAAATCAAATAAGAAGCACAAACTGTGAAACATTATAGTGGAGCTTACGTTAATTTTAATAAGTATTGCCCATCCCCATGCCATACACTCATACAGTCTTTACAGCAATTGATTTTGTTTTTATTTTATTAGAAGGCACTTGTATTCCTCGCAAACAATTTAACTATGTAAAGTTTCACTAGCTATTGTAGAATTAGAATGCTTTCTAACTGATTTAAATAGACCTAGACCTAATTATAGTAATAATTTTTTATACTTTATATTATAATTATAAGACTAACACAAGTAGTAGTAGTTTAGGCCTACCTAACACCAAGTTTGTTTTCTACTACAAGTAGTATACCTATTTCAATTTAGTTAATTAAAGCAAGAATTTTTGAAAAATTCATTTAAAATTTACCAAACCTGATCAATATTTGTTAATAAAAATTATATTTCTTTTCAATTAATTAGAGTAAATTTGTACTTAGTTACAGAATCCACAGACACATTTCTTTCACTACCTTATTTAGTATTGAATATGCTGCAAAGGTTTGTCTGCTGTAAAGGCTTTGATAGATTATGTGTTATGTTTATTGTACAAGGTGGTGGCAACAGTTCATTACACTTCTTCTGCCTGACAGGTAAGCATGGACAATGTTGCAGCACAACCGACTTAATGCTAAGAGAATGAAAAACTACTTGTTCTTGGTACCACAGCTCGGTACTGTTTTATTTTCATTGCTACTAATAACTTAACCGGCACAACTACAGACTACAGTCTACAGTTATGACAATCCAAGCCATGGCACTTTCCTTCCTCATGTAGACCCGCTGTTGCAATCATAGAAACAAGTATGGATTGTCTTTGAACAAAAATATTAACTACATATAGTTACATGAGGACTGACTTACTATAATGTATCTACCGGCATTCAAATATATCAATAGCATATTAGAAATAGCCAGACATTCTTTAAATATATTTTTTTATTGATTATAATTATAATATTTTCAATGAAGTTCTTATCCCACCAGTCAATGTTTCAAAGTTCTAAATTAGTTACTAGTTAAGCTAAAAGAAGTTACAAAGAAAATAAGGTTGTTTTTGTTTTGTTTTGTGTTTCAAATGTTGGATTAAATTATGGTTGAATTTCATTCCCGATGCCATAACCAAAATAATTTTAAAAAGGAAGATACATTAGGCCCTATGCCCTAACAATGTATTATATGACATTTTATGTTTTTTTTAAATATTACATGCTATGTTATAAATCCCTAATACATAAGTTATAAGAAAAATTGCTCTTATTTTAGTTATTTATTAAAGTTTTAACGTAAAAACTTGAAGATAGAGTAAAGTTTCCCACAATCAGGGCTTTAAATTTAATTCCAGCAGTTTTAAGACAATCTTTGAGAAAATGAAATAATGCAAAAAAAGAGAAGGCATAATTTTTAAATGGATGTTCTCCATGCATTTGGTCTTGAAAGCATAACTTAAAGTTTATCCTTAAAGTTTTTTCCTTTAATAAATCAATTTATTTGTATCTTTTTTTGTTATATAAAAGTACTCCATTTTGCTGTCATTAAAAAATTTAATTATACAATTGTAGATATTTAAAAAAAATTAATTTAAAAAAAAATATGTAGGCTACAGTTTTAAATTTTATAATTATGAGACCTTCTTCCTACATATTCATATCACCCATTTGGTATATCAAAAAAAACAATGAAACAAGGGCTTTATTTTTTTTATTTTACTTTAATAATCAACCTTAGTTTAAAGGTTTGATAACATAATTTAACATTGTCTAAAGTTTTCCAAACTATGGCACCAGATGGTCTCCAATAATATTAATGATACAAATAACTTGCTTTCATTAATCCACTGACCTGCACAGCTTCAGAAAAACATCTAAATAATAATAATAATATAGCATTATTATTTTATTAATGCAAACAGGTATTTTTAATGCAATCACCAGTTTTAATAACTTAACAAGAATTATTTTCATGTTTCAATATTAAAATGCACAAAAACTTTTGTTCAAAACAAATATTATTTGGAAAGTATAAATCATATTTAGCCAGCTCAAATGGACTTCAGCTTCCTGAATTAAAAACTAAATGACTCCTGGATGCCCTCGGGATCTTTTTAATATTCTTGTGCATTTGCTATGTGTTTTTACATATCTCATCTATAGAACACTTTTTGTCATGGCTACCTATCTCCATGGATATGATGACAAGTCAAGGATGATGAGAAGATCAGTTGCAAGGTAATGTAAAATTATTGGACACTATCATCAGATTAAATATATTTTTATTTGACATTGTTTTTCTAGTCTAATTTTGGCTTCCAAAGAGTTCTTTATATAGCTTTTAATATTTATTTTGTATGACACTTCTTTGTTCAACTTACCATAAAAAAAAAAGAAATAAATAATTTCAAATGATTTATATATGTATATTTAATATATATAAATAGTTGTTTCCTTTATTTAAAAAAAAAAGAAATATACATTAAATATCAAATTCGTGTTCCATCAGGTATGTTCTATTTGGCTTAATTCTCATATGTCGGGCTGTCAGTGTTTCTGTCATGAAGAGATTTCCAACCATTGACCACATTGTTGAGGCTGGTAAGATTGTTTTCGCTTCTTTTAAAGTTATATGTAATGACTGTAGGCCTACAACTAAGTAACAATTCACTATGGAAACAAAAGACCTTCTAACCACTATTGCCATTGGTTTATTTATATTTTTATATTCTACATTTACAAAATTTGTTAAGTTAAGATTTTATTTGTCACATATTCTCTGCATGACCTCCCAATCTGAATAATATCTAATCCATAATATTTATTTTGAAATCCTTATGCACAACTCCTTGCTGGAAAGCATTAAACAATATTAATAGGAAAAAATATTGAAAAGTCACATAGTATAATCAAATATCACCTTCAAAACAGTTATTATTTTTTAATTTTTTAATAATTCACAGACAAATAAGTTTCTGTATTACTTGAATAAGACTAGTCTTGTTCTGTATTTATTTGAAAATAATTAAGTTTGCATGTTGTAAAAATACAGTAGCACCAAGAATTTAGAGTAAAAAATGCTGTCAAAGTAAAAGAATTATAGGCCTACTTTATTTATAAGGATAACCATGTGCGGTGTTGTAAAGAGAAAGACAATGTAAAGTTAGTTTATAAATTTTAAAAATATGTTGATTTAATTTAAGGTTTCAATAAGTATGATTCGAATTCTAATAAATTCTGCTTTATATTTAAATAAATAATAAAACATTTAAAATATCCCTCACTAACTAACAAAAGAAAATATTATTAATCTAATGATGTAAATTTGCCAATAAAATAACAGTTACCTGCAGTCTATATCAATTTGAGGATTCATAATTTTGTGGGCAGTACGGAGTTCTGATATTATTTATATATGTGTATTTTCAGTCATTAACAGTCAAGATTTTTCTCTGTCAATTTGTAGTAACTTAAAAAAAAGTATAAATATAATTTCTTTTTAGAAAGTTGGTTCAAACAAGATGATGATCCATTTTTCCAGTCTACATCACTAAATTTAAATGATGACCTATTCTATGATTATATTGCCTTGATCTATAATTATGTTGACCTCATATATCAATATTATTATTTTGACTAAGTCTATTCTTAGCTAAAGCTAATCCATTATTGCATTGAAATTGTTTTGCCTATTACAACCTTTATGCTCAACCTTTTTCAGGTTTCATCACTAAAGAAGAAGCAGAGATGTATGAGAAAGTTCAGTGTAGATACTTGAAATTCTGGGTCCCCATAATGTGGGCCAATCAAGTGCTAGTCACTGCCAGGCGTGAAGGCAGAATCCAGACAGATTTTGGTCTCAGAATGGTCATTGAGGTATAAAAAAAATTTATGTTTCATATTCCTCTGAGACAAAGTGAGAATCTCTTAGCAGTGGTGAAACACATTTCTTCCATTGAGAGTTGTTGGATTTACTTAGACTGCTGATAAAATATTTAAAATTTCAGTTGAAATTAGAATAGCTGCTCTGATTTAAGAATACTTTGAACAACATAGAATATAACTTCTGCATGAAGTAGTAGTTGAAGTCATATACTAGGAGTTGGCTTTGACTCTGCAGCTCTTGTATTGTAATATGCACCTACACATGAGTTGGAGTTATAGGAGTAGCATGTTAATTTTACATGGGTTGTAGAACTAGCAATATATACCTAACCCATTTTTTAAAATCCTGTGTATTAAATTTAATGTATTTGCAAACTAAATTCAATCACAATAAGTTTTGCGCACAGCTTTAAAAATAAAATACAAATGTGGTTTTCACTACTGTTCCAGTACCTTGCTGACTTCAGAGATAAGTGTTCTATATGTTTTGTGTATGACTGGATCACTGTTCCCTTGGTGTACACGCAAGTATGTATTATCTTACAATTTCTTGGGGTTACATGTTTAATTTCATAATGATATATTTTTATATATTTGATATCATTCACTTATCTAAGATCAAATTTACAAGTTCTTAAATAAAAGTACCTTTATCTTATACCTTTCCCAAAAATAAAACAAAAATTATTTATAACATTTTAGCTAGTTGGTCACATAATTTTGCTTCACATTGATTTTTGTAAAACGTATTTATTTTTCTGGTTAAAGTGTTAATTTGGAATCTTCAGCATGAAATATATGTATTTCACCTCACAGGTTGTTACATTTGCTGTGTATTCTTACTTTGCTGTGGCCTTACTGGGACAACAGTACCTGGATCCTAAACAGAAGCATAAGGGTTACGATGTTGACTTTTATGTGCCAGGTTTCACCATTCTCCAGTTCTTGTTTTATATGGGCTGGCTTAAGGTAGATCAATACATCTTTATTATTTTATAATAACATCAATCATTGTGAGCAGCATTTTATTCAGACTGCCAGTAATTATTTCTTTTTGTTATGTTCAACTTATTTGAAGTAAGTCATATTTAACCAACAATTGGGTTAACTATGAGTTTAAATTTAAAGCTATTCACTTTTTTTAGCTTAAATGTGAAGCACAGCTTAGCTGTCCTTGACATTTTCATCTATCAAAATTTGAAGGAGTAAAACTTTGAATATGGGTTTTCTAAACAACAAAAGGAAATGTGTTTCAAAAGCAATGTTATTTAAATATTTCAATAAAAGTTGAAATTAAAAAAGCAAAATTAATTTGAAGAAACTTTTTAAGTACTATTCAAGGCTTGAAGTTGTCATATTATTAAAAGTTTTAAAGACTTATAAAAATATGTGTTTGAAACAATATTTGGAGAAAAAAAAAGTTTTCTCCCAATTGTGGGTTTGAGTCATATATTTATTTATAGACTCATTAGCACTGTGTTAAAGGAAGCTGTTAATAGAGGCTTTCAGACAATTCATTCAATCAGAATCCACAGGTGATCCTTTAACAACTTGCTCCAGAGACCAGACATAACAAAGGATACCATTTTCAACTTTTGATAAGAGGACACAGTCATGTTTATCATGTTGGTCTTGATTAACAGATGCATGTCATTTTCAGGTTGCTGAGCAAATGATCAACCCATTTGGTGAAGATGACGATGATTATGATATAAACTGGTTGTTGGATAGACACACTGCTGTGAGTAAAGATTCAAGAGATAACCAGATATTTTTTTTTATTTTACTCACACAGACTTAATAATTTTTGGAATTTTTTTAAAGAACCTTTTTATGTGGGTAATGTCATTTTTGTTTCTGTTTATTGACCAATAATTGCAATAACCTCATAGACATAGATCAGCAAAGTTTTACAAGGCTGTCATTAAATTTTTCATATATTTCAGGTAGCATTTTGTTTGACTGACCACTGTTATGGCAAGCATCCAACTTTGGTCAAGGATCAATTCTGGGATGACCTGGCCGCTGATGTCCCATACACAGAGTCATCGTTAGGATCCATCCGACCTAACTTCTTAGGAACCACTTTTAACATTGAGTGAGCTGAAATCTTTTTATTTTAAATTTGCTCTACACATGACTCTAACTGAATCAAGCTTTATAATATAATCCAATGGTGGCTTAATAATACATAATAATCAATTATTCTTATCAATTTACTTATAGTCTTACAGATATTTTGCTTCAATATATTGAAAAGGATTCTCACTTGAAATGAAATTTCAGTATTAGTTATCATTAAGAAAACATTAACATTTTAAGTTGTTCCACTTGAGCAGACCTGTTTACTCTTCCGATTTTGGCATAGAATGTACTATTTTGAGGTGTATACATTATATATACTGTATGTTTATTTTTTTACTATTAAGATAATGTATTGAACAATTTTGTGTTGATATTGTACACCTTTAAGAGTTTGAGGGTAAACAGATCTGCTTGAGGTTTTTCCTTCTGCCTCTGCACCATTGTCTGAAACAATGTGTGTTTTATTTATATAATTCTCATTAATATCAATCTTTTATAATTTGTATTTGTTTTTTGAAAACTTTTCAATATTAATTTAATTGCTCAGCTCTAGCCTTGAGTCTGTGAATTTGGTATTATATGTGGTTGTTTCTCTTAGGCGGCCTACATTAGAACAAGAAAAAATGGTTGCCTCAGATCACGAAGATGTCAATAACACCAACTGGGCTAACAGGTCAGTGTAACAGAGAATTAAAATGATGTAGTAAATTGTTTGATAAAACTTATAAAAATCAGATTTATTTGATGAATTATTTTTTTATTACATAATGTTGTCAGTTTAAATAATTCTCAACATCCACTTCAAAAAGTCATTTTCTCTCACAATGTATAATTGTCCATTGGCAAAAGCATTTTTATAAATCTTGGAAGTTATCCATGAGGACAGGGCTGTTATAATAGTTGTCTTCTTTAGTAAATAAAGGAAACAAAATTGCCAGTTTTAAATTATGAAAATAATTTATTTGAACTGTTGCAATTATATATAAACTAGCAGAGGCTAGGGTTAACATATAATTAAACAGCTTTTTTTTCTTTTATTTAATGGTAGAGTTTTATGATTCATATATAAATGTGGCAAATTTTAATTTTTCTTTGCCACAACTGTGGCTGTTTTGGAAAAAAATTTGCCCACCCCAGTCTAGGAATGAATATTCATAATGAGAGCCTACATTTCACAACATTCAGACGTCAAGTAAATTAACACCCAACACAATGTTCTCATGTAATGAGCAAAGCTATCTTATGCACAGTGCACAGTAAAGATGTTCATTTCAGTGCACCAATAAAACCTTACATTAAACTTCATGACTGACCTAGCCGCAACGCAAAATAAAGTGTGTTTTTTATTTGTATAGCTCATATAAGGAAAAACATAAATATATGATGCTAGGCATTTCCCATGGACTAAAATGCATTTCTTCCATCTAGACAATCTCAGGAATGCATCTTAAATAAGCATTGAAAGTAACACTCGCCATATTTTCTTCTCTTTTGCTCCGTCATCACGTCAGATCCGGCAGAGGGAAAGGCTCAATAACTGGGTCACTGCTGTCCCTGCTACATCGCCCACGAATGCATGGCTCAGAGGTTACTCTGGAATCACAAGGAAGTGGTCATGGAAAGTTTTATGCCATGCCTAATGGAAGAGCCACTAGATATTCAACAATCAGTAGAGAGAATGAGGAGATGAGAAGGTCCTCTGTGGACCTGCCGGTAATGGCTGAGGCAGACAGCGGAGAGAATACTACATTTCAGGTGCTTGGGGCTTGGCTCACTAACCCAATATTTACCGTTTTTCTAAAAAATTGTTTTTATTTTAAGACATTGTAAGACTTTAAAATAATTTCATGTGTTCAATTCCATTTTTAAGTCATTTTTTTTCTTTCTTTTCCTTATAAAAGTCTCTTTATGTCATAATTTAGCTTTTGAACAAAAATTATTAATTTAACTTAAGGCAGAAATCATATCTGAACACAAAATTGATACTTAAAAAAAAAGTTATTTTATATGAGCATTGTTTTATGCAACTGGTTTTAATTGTTAATAAACTTTCAAGCTGTGATACATTAAATCATTGTTTCAATTATTCAGTTACTTCATAGCTGGTAAGGAGATATTGAAAGATTTTAGCATAAACTAGCATTAGCATTTCTTTACCTTCTCTTTGCTTGCTGTGAGTTAGATATTTTTTGTAATCCCTTTCTTTTAAAACCAAAAACTGTATTAGCACTGTCAGAGAGCGATGGAGTTTTTTATATAATCTTTATACAATCACATTTTTATTAGGTGTTCCTAGATCTCTTAAGTAGTCTTTTTCTATTAATATTTTCAATATTTATTTATTTCTTCGCTAACACTTTAAAATTTAAATAGCAAGTAACAAAATTTTTCTTCTTAAAACCATAAATGAAAAGGCTTTATCCATGAAACATATTTTTTAAAATCATGGTACAAATATAAAACAATGCAATTTAAAGAAACAGTTTATATTAGGGATACTTTATGAAATTTTAAATAAAGTTTTTAAAAATAATTCTAATACTTTATTATTGATAGACTTCAATGATCATTATTAACCCAAAGCCAAGGGATAGCCAGTAAACTTAAGTATATAAAAAGTAAGAGAAAAAATTATTTCTGTAATCTGTGTACTGTAACTCTTGCTGAGAGATAAGATCTTGAAACAGAAGTTTAATGTTGAAAAAAAAAAAAAGGACTTTAACTTTAAACATAAAATATTCACTAGTTATTTTTTACATTTTATATTGTTAGTTGTCTTATACTACAAGAAGTTAACTATTTCTACTTTTTCAAATAAACAATTTTAGTTTATGAATTAATGGACAAGAAATTTAAGACTCAACTTAAATTTGCATTCTCCTTTTAAAAATGAAAATATGTCTGTAGTATCTATCATGTATTTTTTCTCCCACTTTTTCCATCCATATAAATTGCAAACATTGTTACTTTCAACTTTTCTTTTAATATTATTATAACCAAAGATATGTAACTTAAGAATTTAACAAGGTAGACATTAGACTGTATAACAAATTTTGCTTTATAAAATATATGAGTTAAAAGTCTATTTATTTCTAATTGTTTTTAGTCATTTAAGGTATTCAGCACCACCACCCTACCCACTCACAGCAAAAAAAAAAAAAAAAAAAAAATTAGAACTATTTGTAATTAGGATTTCAAAAACTTATAGCAAATAAATTCAAGGTGTTATTTCAAATTATTTTTATTGGCTATAGGGAATGACTTTTATTAATTTAAGCAAAGTTCTATTCAGGAAGGAATGATTATATTTTTTTAAAATATAGGATCAAATCTTTTGCCCCTCTAAGTTACAAAAAAATAAATATAATTGAAGTTCATTTACTTGTTAGTGTTAAAGATTTTAAAACTATCACATTGCATCAGTTGTGCTCTGTGACATTTAACTCTGTTTACATGAAATTCTGACAAAAACTTATTTATTGATGAACTCTTATTTCAGTTGAGACAAAGGGCCAACACAGACAGTGAATTTATTGAGATTGAAAGTAAATCTAGGAAAATGAGTCTGCCATTCCAGATTAATCTCTTCTCCAAGCCCAAAATTTCCCCCAAAAGCAACAGGTAAGTAAAGCAGCCAATTTATCACTCTTTATTATTGTTTTTTAAATTTTTATTTTAGATTTTTTTTTCAATTTCACTAAGGTCAGCAGAATTTAAATGTTAGAAAATAAAAGCTCTAACTTTGCTATTAGTATTAAAATCCTCCTTTAGAGTAACCATTTAGAACAAGATAAATTTTTTTTATTGAAGTTCTGATTATGTTTAATGACTAATGAAATTTCTTAACTATTCATAAATGTATCATTACTAATTATAAGTAGGTATTCTGAACTGCTAACTTGTTTCAAAATTGTCTCAGCAACCCTGTCATGAAAAGCTGGTGATTACACGAGACATTCAATGTTTGCCATCAATGGTTTCCTCCCTCTCCACCAACTACCCTTAAATATCAAAATCTTATGAAAATCCTCTCGTGATATCATTTTGAGACCCTATAAGTTTGCTCAGTCGTTGGGGCTGTTGGTTTTAAAAGTCCATAGAAAAATATTTGAGAATTATTAATACAACATACGATTATTATATTAGGTTCACTGTTGAACCAGTAAAAGACCCAGATTCAGAGACTGAATCAGCAAACAAAACTCGCAGAACTGGGCATGTTACTGCACCATTCCAGAATATTGATAAAGTCTCCAGGTATGTTGTGAAACAATAAGGATCAGGGAATAATTCTGCATGCTCCCTGTTATCACATCATATCCCAGTTTTTTTTTATCAAAGTGTCCTGTCACATTCCAATGTCACTGCAAGACAGAAAGAGCCTGGCATTATGCTCAATACATGAATATTTGTAGGGCATCATTAAACAATACATTGTTTTCATCTTAAGTTGTATACTATCATCTGATTCATTGCTATACATCATCACATGGTGACAATAATGATTCACTGTGGTATATCATCAATTGGTTACGGCATGGTTCACTGAAAGAAATGATAATAGAATGGTTTATTGCAGTACATCAATACACTATGTTTCAATGTAGTGCTTCTATACAATGGCGGTAATGTTGTTCATTTTAGTCAATCATGACATGGTGACAATATTGTTTATTTTAGTCAATCATGACATGGTGACAATATTGTTTGTTTTAGTCAATCATGACATGGTGACAATATTGTTCGTTTTAGTCAATCATGACATGGTGACAATATTGTTCATTTTAGTCAATCATGACATGGTGACAATATTGTTTATTTTAGTCAATCATGACATGGTGACAATATTGTTCATTTTAGTCAATCATGACATGGTGACAATATTGTTTATTTTAGTCAATCATGACATGGTGACAATATTGTTTATTTTAGTCAATCATGACATGGTGACAATATTGTTTATTTTAGTCAATCATGACATGGTGACAATATTGTTCATTTTAGTTAGTACATCACTATATGTTAATATGGCTTAATAGCTGTAAATCGTTAAATGACCATAACTAATTGTAAGCGTCTTTGACCGGGATACAGCGTAAGTAAATGAATTTTTATTTTGTCTTATAAATCAAAACAGATGGGTTCTAACAAGTTTTAATCATAATTGATCACTATGGGATATCTAAATTTTTTTTTTAAATTTAATTTTTCTAACAAAGAATTCCAGAGCTTTCAGCCATTGAAGAAGGTAACACCATCACCAGCCTGTCACAGATAAGGGCGGCTATTAAAAAAGCCACTTTTGATGATGACCAAGACTTAGGTCCCAAAAGAGGGGACACACAGACCATATTACGGGAAGACCTCAATAACAATAGGCATGTACAATATAAATTTGTTTCTTTTATTAGAAGTTTAAGAGCAGGGATCCCCATCTGTACTAACTGTACTATTGATTCCATCTATCCATCTCTTTTGGAAGTCCAATATTCACAATTTTCTTGTTTTATAAAAGTTTCAAATCTTTGCAATAAATTACGCAATTAATCGTAAAGAATCTCGCTAAATTGATCCTTGGTAAGATGTGTTGTTTTCAAGTTAGATCCTGATGGCTAGCTTGATGCTGGCAATAACATCACCTCCTTTAACTGTTAATTATAAATGGTATTAAATTTTTACTTGTATAAACCCATTGCACCAAATGCTTGCTGATTTGTAGAATTATTGTTTGTTTTATTAAAATGTATTTCGTCTTATTATTTTGATAGTTTAAATGCACAATTCAACCAATCCATCTTTCCTCTTGTTTATGAAAGCTGTAATAATTTCTATCAAAGATGAACCACACTACACCCATACACCCAATCTTTACAAAGTGCAAACCTTCCCCAATTATAGTATATGAAATAAAACAAATGACATCCCTTGCTGTAATGTAGCTATTGGGACATAAATTATATCTCAGAATGGTTTATATTTCTTATTCTTTCATGAAGATATGCTACTTGATTAACTATCATATGGTAACAATTTAATAGCAAGCAGAGTGATACTTTTTCTTGGAAATCAGCATTCACAAGTCATCACCACCTCTGTCACACACAAAAAAATGTTTGCATCGTCTCATGTGTTTTCAATTCTGACTTAACAGAGAAAACAGAGAGAACCGGAGGTCGTACATTTCCCCTGGCACTCCCTTGATTCTCGAGTTAGAAGAAGACTACGCAACAGCCACAGCCTCCTCTGAGCCGAACTCGCCAAGTTACCATTACTTTGATGCCATCGACACAATGGATGGCGCCGAGGAGAGCCTCCTTAATCACAGAAGGGTCGGGACACAAGGAGGCAGCGTTAAAAAGCATTGACTCTAATCATGATATTATCATCATTGTTATTTAATCATTGCTGTTTTTGCATATTATGTTCCTGTATACAGTAAGTTATGTTTCCCTGAAAGTGGGTTATCTTTCTTTGAATACCCTTCCACAGCCAAGCTCAAAATTAGCATATATGTTGATTAAGGTGGTCATAGTCAATTTCAAGTGACGAACTATATATATATATATATATATATATATTGGCTGTGGAGCAGTATTCAAAGTGTACAGTGGATTTACAAACTACTAGTCTTTGTAAAAAAATATTATTTATAATACAATATGTTTAAAGTTTTCTAAATGCTAGAAGTAGAAGAGTTAATGATATCAGCATTTACCTCCAATCTGCTGTTTATGTTATACTCATTCATTATTCAAGTTAGGACAAGGAAGTTGATGTTCGAATGTTTCAATTTATTTATTAAACTTTTTAGAATACTTAGTTGTTACTTTTGTGTGTGAAGGTGTGAAATTTTGTTGTTGAAACATACAAGAGATCACTGAATTCGATGAATAGAAGTATAATATGAATACCTCCTGAAGCATAAATCAAGTGCTTTTTATGCACCACTGTTTTAGCCCTGAAATAAGATTTTCTTATTTCATCATTCCAATTGTAGGTCTTGATATGCAAACTGATCTCCGACATGCGAACTGTTAATGATGTTAATATACACTTGTCGGAGAGACCATTTGATTTTTAACTTATTAAAACAATTTTAAATGCTTAGCATCAAGCTAATAAATCCTGGATTTTTAACAAAATATTTTAAAGCTTTTGCAACAAAAATAACCTGGGGGTTTGAAATTAATTACCGATACATGTTTGAGCCAGCAAAACCTGAAGGTTATTCAACGAAATAAGAATTTTGCTGATGATTACCTGTAGCCAAAGACAGTGTTGAGATTCACCTGGAGTTTACCTCATTCAGTTGGTACCTTTATGCAAGCACTCATTTATGTTAAATAGATTTGTGATATTCTTAATGTCACATAAGCTTACAATTTATAAATGTAATGTGCTAAAATTCTTTTTATTTTTATATGGCATATTTTGTAACTGTTTTTTTTTTAAATAAATTTTTTTGTAAGAAATAAACTAGATCCATTAAACAAGTGTTAACCACTGCGTTCATTAAGTTTACTTGATCTGTTCAGTTGGTTGGTCATGTGAGGGAGTTCCCAATCTCTGGGGCAAATTTTTTAAAGTTTTAGGAAATAGAAACATTCTTTGTCAGGCTCAGATATGACTGCCTATTCAACATTGACATCTTATTGGCACTTACTACTTACTAATTAAAAAGTTTAAACAAATTAATTAGTTTAATTTTTTTTTTATTATTTAAATAAATTTTGTTAAGCAATATTACTGTTTATTAACAATTAAAATGTTAAAAATCATAGCATTTCTGTGTATAAATTGATGCAATACTATATTCAGGTATACACAAAAATTAATCCATGTATTTTGACTTGAACAAACATTTTTGGACGGGTCACTCAATTAGAAAACCTTTCACATTTTCTTAGGAACCTTGGAAGCCTTCGGATTACGATCTCTGCCCCCCCCCTACCCCCTACCCCCCCCCCCCCCATTCCCCCTTCCCCCCCCCCCCCTCATTTCCATTTTGGGGTGATTTAGTGCATATGACAGGGACAACACCATTTCAAGGTTCGTTATTTCCAGGTTTTATTGTGCCTAATCCCGCTATGTATGTTTATATGTAGTGTTGTTTGTTTGTTTGTTTTTTGTTGTTGTTTTTTGGAGGGGGGGGGGCAGAAAATTCAAAGCCCGCCTCGGGCCAAGCAATGTCTCGCTACGTCATTTCTTGGCGTATGCACCTCCAACCAGCGTCCAAAGATTGTTCCAGTCAACCGTGAAGGAGATATTTCTTGCGTTTGTTACCTAACTTAATGGTATGGCAATTGACCTCATTAGCTGGGGGGGGGGGGTTCTTTAAAAATTACAAAACATAAAAATTGCACACACACACACACACACAAAATATGACTTTTTTTTCTCCAGGTAAACTTTTTTTCAGAACACGCATTATTTAAAAGCGTATTTGCATTGCAAATGATTATGGGTTACGCCTCTGCTGTGAAGCAGGGTCACACAATAAGCTGCACTTTACCATTACTTTCACCACCCACTCATTCAAGAGAACGCATTGTGCTGAACAATAGTAATAGCAAGTTTAAATGAAGCTGAAAGTGTGGACGGTTGTGTGGTGTGTGTGTGGAAGGGGTGGGTACATAAAAGTACATTAGGGCCTACTTCTATCACATTTTCTCAATTAACACCAGATTCAGGTACGCCAGAGTGTTAAGCATAAGACTTTTGTTTTTTTTTGGGCCCCACTCACCCCCACACCTTGTTCACGATTACCACTGTGGCATATGACATCACTCGGTGATTCGGGCGTTGACAGCTTGGCTAATCATCTAATGAGACTATTAGTCTCAGACTCATGTGCTTAAACCCAGTGGCGTAGAAAGTGTGGTGTGCAAGGAACAGGAATTTTCTTCTTCTTTTTTTTACATGGAGGGGTGGTGTAGCAGCATCAATAAGATATGAACTCAAAGGCTGTGGTCTGTGTAACAAATTACCTGTATTCTAAATTCTTTTTATAACCTCTATCACATGACCATTCACTCCAGTTAAGAGCTTATCTAAAATTTCGGCCTCATTATGACCTAATTTATTTTTTATTTCATAGCGTATGCATATATATTATATGTGTGTGTATATATATATATATATATATATATATATATATATATATATATATATATATATATATATATATATATATAAAAAAAACACATTTTTATTTAATAGTGTATATATATATATTATATGTGTGTGTATATATATATATATATATATATATATATATATATATATATATATATATATATATATATATATACTTTTAAAAAATAACCACACATCTTAGTCTCTGATTACTTTGCCACACATTGTAATCCAAATAAACACTAACACTGATTTCATTGACGTGAAATGGATTCCGAAGTAAAAATTGAGATGTTGTGTTTTCTTATATTATTAAAATTTAAATCTTCCAACAGTAAAAAGGCGGAAGTGAGTTCGTGTGTTCGTCACAGTGTTGTGAATTCGGATGCCGGTCCGTTGTCTAACGAAGGCCTGACTGGGAGGCAAACGTGTAAGTCCTAACCACCCCCCCCCCCTCCCGACCCCGTGTCACACCGAATCTCAGCTTAACCACAAGTGATGACCCTGTTACACGGGGCAGTGGGGATTTGTTTTCTGAATTTAATAATCGTCCGTGTTTTGCTGTGTGCTTAAACACTGTGTGTGTTCGTCACAGTGTTGTGAATTCGGATGCCGGTCCGTTGTCTAACGAAGGCCTGACTGGGAGGCAAACGTGTAAGTCCTAACCACCCCCCCCCCTCCCGACCCCGTGTCACACCGAATCTCAGCTTAACCACAAGTGATGACCCTGTTACACGGTGCAGTGAGGATTTGTTTTCTGAATTTAATAATCGTCCGTGTTTTGCTGTGTGCTTAAACACTGGTATATTTTAAGAATACTTTTTTTTAACGGTTTTGGTTTAAGGGGGGGGGGGGGGCTCAGGTTACGGAAATTTGGTCGGAAGAAAATTTGGTGGATTTTTTTTTTTTTTTTTTTTTTCAGTTCACACGTTAAAATTTTCGTCACAATTCTTTTGGAACGCACTACACTATAATATAGTAAAACAAAATAGTGTGTTCAACAAAATAAATTTAAAGCAACATTTTAACGTAGAAACTGGAGAAAAAAAAGATCCGACCATATTTCCGTTCGATCAAATTACCGTCGATCAATTTACCGTCGGCGAAATTTCTTTCGATTAAATTTCCGGACACGGGTGCATCAAGGGAAAGCGCCGCACTAATTTAATGACGTCATTGAGACCTATAGGTGTTAGAGAAGTGTGCCGTTAAAAGTGTGGGTATTTTCTACCGTGAATCATGTAAATGCAGAAAATGGATTATGATACATATAAGCGACGTAAATTTAAACCAGAACCAAAGATTGACGACTGAACTATTGTCAAAGGGAAAGTATGAAGACACAGGATAGCCGGCTCTTTGTTCATGGCAAATGAATTACGTTATCATTGTACTCGGTTTAAAATGGTTAATTTGATTAGAATGTTGATTTTGTTGATTTTTTAATTGCTTTGTTTCTTTATTTTTAAACACAATAATATAATATTGATCTTATGAGCACGAAATGATGGAGGTATTTAGAGACGGACAGGGGTATTTAGAGAAACGATGGTGGTATTTAGAGACACGGTGGTGGTATTTAGAGACACGATGGTGGTATTTTTTTAAAAAAGTTATTTACTAGATAAGTCCTAATTACCTGAAACTCTGTTGTTCTTCTCCTGGCATGTTGACAGTTTATTTTCCTGAAAGCCCAGTCAGTTCTTCTTCCCACTGGCAAGTTATCAGTTCTTCCCCCTGGCAAGTTATCAGTTCTTCTCCCTGGCAAGTTATCAGTTCTTCACCCTGGCAAGTTATCAGTTCTTCCCCCTGGCAAGTTATCAGTTCTTCCCCCTGGCAAGTTATCAGTTCTTCCCCCTGGCAAGTTATCAGTTCTTTCCAATGGCAAGTTATCAGTTCTTTCCCTTGGCATGTTGTCAGTGCTTGTCATGTACACTGTTCTTGTATTGTTGACAACACAGTTACATGTTGATATAAGCACGGGTAAAGTCGATGATTTTTGTTTAAGGCATTCGCAAACATACCCCCCCCCCAACCGTTGAGACACCAACCGTATGGAAACATAATGGAAAAACGCCTAAAAACCTAGTTTTTCGTATAAATCATCTTCAAATGTAATTTCGAGAAATCGGTGGTGGGGCGAGAACTCGGTGGTGGGGCGAGAACTCGGTGGTGGGGCGAGAACTCGGTGGTGGGGCGAGAACTCTGTGGTGGGGCGAGAACTCGGTGGTGGGGCGAGAACTCGGTGGTGGGGCGAGAACTCGGTGGTGGGGCTGAACATTTGATAAAACATGCATTTAAGTAACGCACTGTATAAGAATACCAATAAGTGCTCCCCCTCCCAAGGTTCACAACCACAATTTTTGTCCACGCCCCTGAACTCTATTAGATCTAATAGTTTAATGAAACACCCGCTTTCACACTGTAGATTTGTTTCACCAAATATTTTAGAAAAGTAAACAAAAAAAAAGCAAATATTACGCATCAAATGCACTTGCGATATTTTTTTAAAGAATCTCTTTTAGTGTAGTTATCGGGAATATTCCTTCATGTTCCCCTTAAAAACAGGAAAACTTACTTTTTCGGGATTGAGAAAGGGAGTGGGTCTGACAATTTGACAGAATGTGTTGTCATCGGCAACGAGCCTATATGCCAAGTTTCAGCTCGATAGCTTTACGGGATGTCGGTCAATCAGCCATCCGGATATTTTACCACCCCAGCCAGTCACAAACTAAAGCGAAGTTATTATAAAGGATTTTTTTTTTTAAATATATATTTTAAAACTATTTTTTTATAACTTTGACGCGAGCATCTCAAAATGTGTTGAAATGGTTGATTAAACTATTGAGAACCTTTGAAAAACTAATTAATTAACAGCCTGCAACATAAAAAAAAAATTATTTAAAAAAAAAAAAAAAAAAAGAGTTTCCTCCATTCCTTGTTCCAAACACGTCATCATTCATCCCGTAGAGTGTAAACACAGAGTTAAGAAGAGATAGCCTGTCAAGCAGCATATACCTTTTTAAACCTTCCTGCTTAACGTTATCTGCTTTGCATTCGCTTGTGTTTCCCTACAACAAGAGAAGGAGAAGGCGGGTTGGACGTTCACGACACGCGACGACGGAGGACATTTAATGTATGGGGTCGGAAAATATTGGATACAAAATGAGTGAGGGAATGTTTGGACAACATGGGTTACAGAGCCGAGTGTGGAAAGTGGACATTTCGAGATAATGTGGGAATGCACTTGATAGGGATAATATGCAAATGGATTGGGTAAGGAATTGTTGGGATATTATGTGAATGAATCGGGTAAGGTAATGTTGGAATAATTTGGGAATTGATTTGGTGAGGAAATG